GGGGGGGGGTATTATAGGACTGATTAATTAATATCTACCGTGCCTTTGGATTTGAAATCCCTTTATTATTATTAGCGTTAGTCATAACATCAGCTATGTTTTATTCCAAAGCCTCCAGCTTTCTACCTCTTCTGTCAAACAGCAGTTTTTCAGGAGGTTAAAAATGAGACTGTCTTGCTCAGCAGGAATAAACTTTTTTCTCTCTCTCAAACTTTCCTTTAAAAAAATATATTTAATTAAAAACGAGGACTGAGTAATTTATTGTTGCTTCTTCTGCTCCGTGTCCTGTCACCAGGGAGACAGTGAAAGAAGAACAAGAGCCCAGCGTCTCTGGGAGGTAGAAAGACTTGGGGAAGAATTGAACTCGGTGAAGAAGAGCAGGAAGAATGAGGGAGAGATTTGTATTAAAGAAAAATCCATCTTAACAAACAAGCTTAGATGTGGTTGATTTTTTTTTTTAATTATTACTATTATTATTATCAGAGAAAAACGTTTTTTCCCCTCCCTTTGATGCCTGAACAGAAACAAAAAAATGTATATCGTTGTTTCATGCCATGTTGTACAAGACGTCAGTACACAGGTTAATGGAAAAAAATGCATGAATTTGGATAGATATATAAAGGTCCCTTGGGTGTTCAGTCATAAATCTTTGTAGCTGGAAGGCAGAGCAGACATAAATAGGCCTGATATAACCAACTGCTTTACATACAAATGAGTGCTTGCCTTTTATTTAGTTGACAATATTATTATTTCAAATCCAAGAGGAATATTAAATAACTTCTGTTATGTTGTCTCCATTAGGACTGATCCTTGATCTCTGAATTGTGACTGGAGTGATGGCTTTGGGCTGTGTGTGCAGGGCTGGATAAAGGGAATAGGTATGTGTGTGTGCATGCACGCATGCATGTATTATGCTTTATAACGGAGCAAGTGTCATTGAAATACATTCTGTTCTTCAGAGAAATGTACCTTCCTCATAATGATCTGCTGGGAGGTGGGAAGAAATTAAATAAATTGGCTCATAGTGGCCCTGCACATGTTTTTAAGGGACCATATATAGTGGGCTTTCACTGAGCTGACAGCCAGAGAGAAGCTTTCTGTTTTATTTTTGAATTATTCTTTTTTTAATGCAGGGAATGTAATGTGAAAAGACATGCCAAAGAGACAACGCTGCATACCATTTCCTATCTTAGAGCTACAGAACATACATAGGGTAAGGCAAGCTTCCTGCTACCTTGTGCAGGGCCTTGACTCCACCCAAAAGGAAACCACCTTAGGGGCCATGGTTCAGTTCAGTTTCCATGGCTTTGATCAACTTTCTCTATTGAACCTCCTGTCCAAGGCACTAACATGGAGATAGCTCTTATTTGTTTGCTTTATGCTTCTCCACTAGGACCTGTTATGAGACTACTTGCTTATGGAGGCAAGTGAACAGGTAGCTTTTTGCTACAGTGTTCTTGGCCCTATGGAAGATCTTGATAAGACTTGGATGCCTGCCAAAGTTTGTTACCATTATCGGACTTCTTCACAATTACAAGACAGCAACGGTCCTAAGTAATGGCTTGGAAATAAATCTCTTCACTATTAGAAATGGAGTCAAGCAAATAGTCGTAATGCAATCACATATCCTTTCCATCTATATGACAGCTATTCTATATCTCGTTGCTGATCTGGAGTTCATCTGGAGTTAACATCCAGTATTGCATGGACAGGAATCTCTTTAACCTCTACTGGTTACATTCCAAATCAAAGAAAACCAACACTTCTGTTACTGATCTTCAATAGGCAGATGATTGTCTCATGTGCTCACTCAGGTAAAAAGTTCCAGGTCACTCTTGACCATTTCTGTGAAGCATATGAAATGCCCGGACTCCCTGTCAACTTCACTAAGACATGTATACTTTACAAACCTACCCCAAACAATGATGTTCAAGACTAGGTAAAATCTGCCAGTGCTGCTTTTAGATGCCTCTGAAATTTATGTCTACAGTGATTATGACATAAGGACCCAAAGCAAACTTAGTCTGTGAGGCTGTTGTCATCCCTATCCTGTGGTATGGGTGTGAAAGTTAGATGACATATCAAAAACACCTGACAGTTTGGAATATAATCCATCCACAATGCCCTCAGAAAATCCTTCTTATCAACTGGAAGCACAGAAGAACAAATGCCAGTGTTCTGGCTCAGGCAGACAATACCAACACTGAAGCCATGTTTATAGGACACCAACTCAGTTGGACAGGACATGTCTAAGAATGCCTGACAACTGGCTCCCGAAACAGGTAGGTCCTATACTCCCAGTTCACCAATGGCTGCTGCTGTAGAGGTGGGCAACAGACAAGATTCAAGGACACCTTGAAGGCCAATCTGAAGAAATGCGATAAGAACATCTGTACTGGGAGGACTCAAGCACTGAATCATCCCCAGTGACACTGTGATGTACGACAAGGTATCTATCATTTTGGGAAAACTTGCCTCTATCTCACTATGGAGGTAGATAGATCAGAGATAAAGGGAAAGAGCTGTGACCTGACATCAACAAGGATCTACTCCTTCCTCCTGGAGCTAATTGCCACCTTTGCAATAGAACATACGGATCTTGGATCGATCTCTTCAGTCATCTAGGGATTCACAAATGACTTTCCTGTTTACTGGAAGACTGTCATCCTCATATTGAAGAACTGCAGCCGCTGACTTGGTGTCAGTCTTGAACGTAAGACTTAGAGCTCTGTACGCTTTTTAAAACACTGTGTACCATCCATCCCCTGAGTAAAAAAAGACTTAATGAAGGATTTCTGTGAAATACCATCCAGTCCTTGCAATTATAAAGCATTATTAAAAACAAATAAATAAAACAGTGTTGTTTGCTTTCCTTTGCTGTCCATGACTACAAATATAGTAGCTTTGATGGTTCCAGAAAATTAGCTAACAAAGATAAGCAAAAAGAATTAAGTGAAATTCTCGCATAGGAAAATAACCACTTAAAATTGATGATGATGGCGATTCATGGTGTTACTCTCTAAGAGACTGGATGGTATATTGTAGCTGCACATACAACTTATGTGTCCACTGAAAGGATTAATAAAATTGGCTGTGGTGAAGGCTTGTCTGGATTTTGTGTTTGCTGTGCCAAGAAAGCCAAATTCCTGGATTCATAGATTGTGAGGCTCGTACTGACCTTGGAAGATCATAGAGTCCAGCCCCCCTGAACCAAGCAGGAAAGACAACTGGGGTCAGGTGACCCCAGCAAGGTGACCATCCAGTTTTCTCTTGAAGATTTCCAGTGTGGGTGATTGCACCACTTCTGGAGGGAGTTTATTCCACATTCTGGACACACTAACTGTGAAGAAATTTTTTCCTAGTGTTGAGCCTGAAATGGCCTTCTAGGACTTTGTGACCATTAGTCCTGGTTTTCTCCAAGGGTGCCCTGGTGAACAGTTGTTTACCAAGCCCTTGATGTATGCTCCTGATGTGTAGTGGTAAGCTGCTACCAAGTCCCCTCTCAGCCTTCTCTTTTTCAGGCTGAAGAGTCCCAGGTCCCTCAGCCTTTCTTCATATGGCTTGCTGTGTAAGTATCTGATCATATGGGTGGCCCTTCTCTGGACTCTCTCAAGCTTTACTGTGTCCTTGTTAAAGTGCAGCACCCAGAGTTGGACGCAGTACTCCAGCTGTGGTCTCACCAAAGCCAAGTAGAGTGGAAGATTCACTTCCTTGGTTTTGCTGGAAATGCATTGATTGATGCATGCCAGAGTATTATTTGCCCTGTTCACTACAGCATCACACTGCTGGCTCATGTTCATACTGTGGTCTATTATTACCTCCAGGTCCTTTTCATTTGTAGTGCTAGTCAGATTGGCATTGCCAAGCCTGTAGGTGTGCAGGGGATTGTTCATCCCCAGGTGGAGCAATTTACATTTCCTGTTGTTGAACTTCATTTGGTTCAGATCTGCCCAACTTGTCAGCCTGTCTAGGTCCACCTGTATCTGCAGTCTATCTTCAAGCACGACCATGTTTCATGTTTCCCCATAACTTGGTGTCATCCACAAACTTGGCCAGTGAGCTCTTCACCCCCACATCCAAATCATTGGTGAAGATGTTGAATAGCACTGGGCCAAGCACCGACCCCTGAGGGATACCACTGGCCACTTCTTGCCAAGATGATACAGATCCATTCATTCTGGGTCCTATACCACAGCCAGCTTCATACCCACCTAACTGTCTCATGGTTAAGCCCACGATCCTCCAGTTTTGTTGCGAGAACATTGTGGGATACCAGATGAAAGGCTTTTTGGAAGCCAAGGTATACAACAACGTTCCCTA